TGCTGTAACATTTGTGATTCTTCCAAGACGTTATTTTCATTTTAGGTCTGCACTTGCAAGCGAAATTACGTAATAGCTTAGCAACCTTCAAAGCAACGACGCCAAAGAGTCTTTGCAAGGTTTGCCTCACTTTCGCTCGAAAATGGCATTTCCTTGCACAGCGCGAATATAACGGACTGGAACAACATGCAGGAGCGTTTCATATCACTGTAGTCACGATCTCAGAAATTGATTAGTGTATTGAAGGCAAAAAAAACAACCCAAGATCCAAAATGCATGTTTAGGGAAAGTCAAGTAGTCAATCTCGCAGGTGTGAAGACTGCAATTTCTGGAGAACTTCCTATACCGTCTCAGGCCGTGTCTCTATTGGCGTCGATTCGCGACGCGTCCATTACAACCATCTCACGCAACGTTACCCCGCACCACACCATTTTTATGTCATGTTATTTTCAGCCAAGAAAACGTGTCATATCATAGGGCCTATACATGTTTGCTGAGGCAAGTCGCGTATTCGCTCGCCGATTAAGGAGCGAAAACAATCCCGTTAAATCTCTCGATTTATGCGTCTAACGTATGGCTTGGGCAGTCGTGCGGTAGGGTGCGACGGGCTCCAGCGGAGCTGAGATTTTGCTCCTTGATTCATTCTAAAAAAATATTATAGGCCAATTAGCGTCCTGAGCTGAAATGTGTTAACCATAATATACCTTTTTATTATCTTTATTATTATTATTATCATTAATTCTGGTAATGAAACCAAGGATTTCTCAAAAGTGCCCTGGGCACTGTAGCTCGCAAGCCTGAAGAAACCTGTAGAGAGAAGACAGTGAGAAGAACGTACAGTTTTAAAGGTGGGAGGAAAAGCCCAGAAGAATATTCTGGGGAAAACCCATGAAATCAGGTATTGAAAGCCCAATCCACATATTGGCCCAGGTGGGATTCGAACCCGGGTCACAGCAGTGAAAGGAAGGCGAGGAAAGTACCTTTTACGCCAATCTGATTCCACCTATTCATACTGCCACCATTTCAGTCATGTTCCCTGTATCCAATAACAGTACTGAATGATATTTTTTTGTGCAAAAAGGAACCAGACTATTTTCCCTTCCAGCCTCGCTTTGGTTACGTTGATTTGAATGGGGGAAAATGGCCGCAACATGATAATGGTTTATTATACGAACACTTCAAATGGTAACTATAAAACTAACGATTAAGCACCAAAACTGTAAATAGGCCTAACAAATACATATGCACCTACACGTTTTAGACTACCCAGGTTTCATAATAGGTGTATGGTGTATAAATCTGTCAAAAGTAGCACATTGCATTGAGATAAAAATGTTTTATAAATTGTCATCTAGTACCATCCTAAACCTGAGGGCATTTTCTTTGAATGTCAAGATGACTGTGCATCATTTTGGCTGTCCGTTTCGTGGCGTTATTAAAATAGGCCGTCATGCATTATGACGACAACTATAGCTGAACAGTTGATAACAGCCAATAGAGATATTAAATGTTTTCCGCTTGAATCCTGTTGTGATAATAGAGGTATAAGCTTTTCATAATTGACAGTATAGACTTAATATCTGGGTCCATTATAATGAAAACTACTACAGGGCGTCGCAGTTGTCTGGCAAGCATCACTGTTGCCATGGAAACCTTGTCTCCTCATCATCCTCATCCGATATTTTTGTAGGAGTCTTCACACCCTCCTACCACCTCGCCGTTGATACAGCTGCCATAAGACGGAAGGAAGTTAATGAAAAATAATGGTAACTTGTCACAAACATCGTAGCAATACACGTCTCGTTATGAAGCAATAATTGAGCGCATTTGGCTGCTTTGGATACAATGTAAGCGGTCATCGATGTCTAGTACCCTTAATGGCATGCTCAGACATTCCTCGTGGTGAATCGGCATACGTCACGGGCTTAATTACGTCACAGGAGCCAGTCTTCTTAGCTACGACTTCACTTTATTGCCATAATGGGTATTTGATATTTTCAAAGGGAATACATTTTTTTTGGGGGGGGGGATGTTAGTACACGTTCACCTCATGTTGCAATTTCCAGGGCACGCCTGATTCAATCCGAATTTAATATCAGTCAGCAGTTGTGTTGAGGAAAAAGGGCTAGGCCAGTGAAGCTGGTCCACTGGTTATAGTGACTGAGATAGCTACAAAGAGCTAGGATACAAGACTTGCCCCCTGCGACGCCGGAAAAATATACATTTCAGGAATGTTTTGTTGCAGCAAAACCACTTTAACGCCATCCAATTTCACACGAAAGCAAAGCAACTTTTTATTTTTCAGACAGCAGTCTTTCCGAAAATTGTAATATATATCCTGACAGAAACTATAGACGTATTCATTTAGAAGAGTCAATAGAAGGAGGGAAATGATAAAGTGTAAGTCACTCCTTGTATCAGCTGTAGCAACCTATGTCAACTGGGAGTTTTCGCACTTACTGACGCCGTTGCTAAGAACTTGACAAGTGTCGTGTTGTAAGACACATCCTGAGAAGTGCATTCCAAACATTAAGAGCAAACCTTGCCAAAACGACTCTATTTAGCACTTGTGAAATCTTACACACGAGATCCAAACATCCACTTACCAAATGAATGTTCTCAACTCGTTGGCGCTTGCTGAAATAATAGCTGGCCCCCATCAACGTGATTTTCAAATTGGGATTGACACGTCGAGGGTAAGACACCTCAAGAGTCGGGTAAATACATTCTTCCGTACCGTGGACTCGCGCCCAAGTGGATTTTATTTCAGCTTTCGAAATTGTCCAGTTGCGATTTGAAGCACGTCACAGGTGCCTTCGTTCCCGCGTAAGACCCCCTCCACCTAAAGTCAGACACGCAAGTATGTGCCAGTCCTTCTGGTAGCTTTTAACGTATAATGTTCGCACTCGGGCGTTTTGTCCCCGGTGTCGAATTAACGTGGCGTTAGACTCCAATCACTCGGGTGATGGATGGGGCGGGAGAGGCGTTATTGAACCGTTTAGAATTCCCCTGCTGCCGGGATAATCCTCCCGCTGCTGCATGGGATATCAAACCACTTCATGGATGGGTGCCTGAATGGCACGCATTGAATTTGGATACGGCAAAGACTGAATCGGGCCGCGGGTTAAATGTTTATCTTGCTAATGTCAGTTGTGCTTTTATCAATACATCATAGAAAATAACTTTCAAGCATGGATTCCTGAAAAATGGTTAATCTTTCCACAATTTCTCCAATTCAAGACCGATAGATGAATTGCTGACCCATTCTTGATCTTCTGACTGTTGAAGCATTCCAAAAGCAAAAAGAGATGTAATAATTATAGGCCTATAAAAGCAATGTGGATATACATTTCAATTCAAGACGACAACAATTACAACTATGCGTGCTAAATCGTGGTCATCTTACCGTTAGCTTGTCTTTGATACCGAAACTTTATTGAACAGTTAAACCTGACTTTACTAAATATACAAATAACTGCCTAACTAATCGACGATAATTTTGTTTGGCAGGGCAAGCATTTTGAAGTTTTACATTGTTGGTAAAAGATTTACAGCATATCAAAGTCATTCGCTGCCTCTATTTCTCAACTAGGCCTGTTCCTGACGATGATAAAGAATGGCGTCGGTTTTGCTGAAGCCCGCCAATATTGAACTAAGCAAATGAACTGACAGCAATTGTCCACTATTGACTGCATCATCTGAACATTCAGCAGTATTTTCACTCTGTATATAGACAAACGGTTTCCTATTTGGACTGATTATTTGGCGATTGAGTCAAACGATCAGCACAAATCATGCCCTAAAGCCGTAATACTGGCTCGTTTGCAGTAATAACAGCGAGTCTTTGGAATAAATAACATTTGCAATTCCTCACAAATCGATGTCGCGTTGGCGTAAGCACGTTTTGTATGGTATGTCGCGTCATCAAATATGGCGTATTTTGGTGGTTAGTACCACAATATGATTGGATTGGACCATCGAGTTGAATGTGATCAAGCTAAAGTGGTTTATGATTGACTCATTAAGTGACTACATATACATTTATATAAACATAAGTGAAAGGATTTCAACTCTCAAAGTTATTGTATATTCTGCTTTCTCTCTGGATCTTTTAGTGTGCCGTTCATAGTTTCTATTTTTAAAGTATCAGAGATGTTTCCCCTATTTTTCTCGTTTTCCTTTTGCTTTGTTTTGTTTCGTAAACAGAGTGCAATTGGAGTTTAGTCAGTATGTCCTCTCAACATCACTGTACAAAGTAACAATTTGTCCCACACCCAACCGAAAATAATTATGATCGGAATTTATCGAGTGTGGTTGAGTTCTTGAAAAGACAAAATACGTTTTGCGACTAGACATAATGAACTTACCAAGAATCTGATATATTCTGTTGACACTAGATACTTTCATTCAGCCATTGGTTCATTTTTTCCCACTGGAGGCACATTTCATCATTATTTTGTTGTAACGCCAGAAACTACAATCAGATTTTCGTTGAGACTGATGAAATGAGATGCTCAAAAATCTGAAGTAATGTTATTTAAGACCCTTTGATTTGATTCTGCGAATCTTTAGCTGATTTTGGCGCCAAAGGCGCTTCTCCCAAAAAGAAATCATAGAAAAGGTCTTCAGGGGCACGCTCAGATGTTTGTCCAACAATCTTGGCAGGAATCAGGTGGTTTCGTAGTCGCTAATGAGTCGTCTCGCAGTCCGTCGATTTGGCGATGAAATTAAGCAAGCCCGCTTGGCGGACTCTCGGCGGACTAACGAGATCGGGCCGCGTGGTCCCAGCTGTGGCGCGCTCCTCCTAAACGCGGCACGGTGTTATTAATTCGGCCTGACACGGGCCTTTTAGTGCTAATTCATCACGCGACCAACGTTCCCGTCTCCCAACATTTTGTAATTGTAAAATTGTGTTAGATGTGTCGTGTTAGCTTCATCAAGTGTCAATTATTGAGGATGCTTCGCCTTCCCAGCAAGTCAAGGTTGCATGCAAATATACCCTGTAGTCAGTCAGACTCTGACGTGAAAACACATTGACAGGCTCGAGCATTTCACATCTTCACATCTTTCTTTCCAGAATGTACCGTACGTCTTCCATAATATTCAGTGCGCAAAGCTGTTTTAACGGAATGTTTTCCTAGCTTTGAGATATTTTCACAACGCTGCATTTGTGAATAAATGTTATTCTGCACGTCAGATGTTCTCACACTCCCCCACATGTTCCCGCATTAAGCTGCCACGTCCAATTTTAAGCTTCGCGTTCTGTTTTTACCTCTGTGCAACCATAAGAGACCTTTGTTGCGCATGCCCACATCAAACTCTTGATAAATAACCCAAAAGCGTTTGTTCAAATAGATATTGGGTGCCTGCATGCCTTAGTCAAGCTTATCATGCCTTTCGTGGGCTATCTTATAATAGGTCAACATCCACGTTACACCCATTGACAAAATTTTAAATCCAATTTCAGATTGTGACAGTGAAGGAAATCGAGTCACCGTTGAAAAAAAGATCAGAGACGTCACAGGGGAAATTTTCAGTTAAAGGTAAGAAACCTGTTTTTTTTTTTTAAAGCTTTACTAAAAGCCTTTTAGCCTAGTTGTTTTTGATGAACAATCTGTAGCCTTAATACAAAGCTTTGCATCAGTTCCTCTATAATAAAGTCAGCGGACTTGACGTTTGGGCGGTGCACGCGTTTGATGTGTGAGCAAAGTGTGCCCCCGGAACGTTTGGCGTCACTGTGTACGCTTTTAGCATTTTTAGTGAAGGAGACCCAAAGCCGCTTCGCTTGCTTTCAACAGGTTCCGATCGCACATGCAGAGCCCGCCAAAAAATGATCTATCACACCGGAAATTTGGTACTTTAATTAGAGAGAAGTCTTTTAGAAGCACTTCTGATAGCTAAAACGCTACCTCGCGAATGAACTTTGGGTACGGGTTACCATATTGAATCGGTATGCCCTTTGCTTGAAGTTTACTTGAAATCAAATGCTGCTAACGTAATAGCTTGGAAAGACATTTATGCATTTTAAATATGCCTCCCGGTACAAGCAGGTGGTCTATTTTGAGACTCATTGTACTAAACCTCTTACATGATCCCAAGAGATCTCAGATCCGGCTATTAGACCCAACGGCCAACCCCAATGTTCTTATAGAATTTCCTTACAATTCCTAGTTCCTCTTTTTTTTTTTTATTCTCTCCGTTCAACGCATTGTCCGCAAGCCAGACACTGCAGAATATAAAGAACGAAATGAATCTCAATAACGTGTTCATAACAATCATTCACTCCAGTAACATTGAGACAATTTGAGTCTCAATTTTGTTTTATAATTTTTTTTTTTAACATTTGTCCTATTCACTTTTACTCTATGGAATTAAAATATGTCTGGAGGCAGCCTAATGGTGAACGTTTCCCTCTTCTTCGTTTTGTGAAGCTCCTTAATAAAACAAATCTTCGAACCAAACACAGCTTATGTTATCAGTTGATAATTCGTTATACGAGATACATTTCTAAATATTTCAACAGTGCACCCCAGGGATTAATTAACCTAATTGTTTGCATAGCTTGGCATTTGTTCCCCTGGCAATTAAGCTTTGTAATTTTAGCGACCAATTAAGCAATTAAACCTCGTCTGTACATCCTCCAAAGTCCGGTGGTTGTTTTCGTAAGGCAAGGTCGTTTTGGGTCGCTTTCATCCTTGTACATCGACTGTGCTACAGAAAGTAAGACGACGACTTGGCAAAACTCCCAGTGCGGTGCAGCGAACTATTAGCCCACTTGTTTAATGAGTTTTATTAAAGGGCCCAAGCTATGAATTGTTTTAGGAACACATTTTGTGCAACTTTCAACTCCTCTTAAATGTATGAAAACTAATTGACATTTCTTTTTGGTTAATTTGATTGAAAAGTGCACTCCGGACAACTGAGGGCGCTATTGCTGGGATTCGTTTCAGGAAGACACTGTCCAGTTTAGGGGTTTTCTATTCAAATTGTGAACCCAAAATTTGCCCATTGAAAACTTTTTGTGAGAAAGGCTAATTGGCTTACTGCAATGTACTGACACAACAGCGAATCACCAAAGAACTGAACATTTACGACAGCAAAATCGCCAAAATTCTAGCAACTTTTTGTGCTGAAATAGCTGCAACGATGAGGTTTCTGCCTGGAACGGCATCTCAGTTTCCATATTCATTTTCATGAATATGGAAATAGGCATTAGCATAAACAACGAAAATGCACCAAAATACCCTTGGAAATGGCAAAATGAAAATTGATAATAAGGCCAAATGGGACATAAAGGTAAATTTTATAGGATGGCATTACAGAAATTACATCGCAATGACCCTTTAAGTTTTATTCGGTTTGGAACTAAACCTTGCCTCCCTTCTAGGTTTATATATCTTGCTTGATAGTATTGGTATTGCGAAAGCAGAAAGGGATGAGAAGAACGTGAAATGTATGGTTTTATCGAACCATTATACTCGTGTTTAGAGCTGAGACCGTGACTACATGAAATGTGGAAGCATTACATCGTAAACGTTTAGACCACAATATTGATGAGACAGGGATAAACTGGACAAATTATAATTTGAAAGGAGTTTATTTCCCAACCACGATAGAGGCTTTGATAAAAACTCAGGGTTTGTTTTCAGAAAGGAATTAAAGTTTTGTCTACTTAAGAGATCACTCAGTAAATGTTCTGTTTTTCCATCAACTGCCGTGATCCTAGTCTATGTTTCGTTAGCTTAGTCCCAATTTCAACAAAATGGACCAGGAAATCCCGACCGTAGAGGCGGGGCGAATGCGGTTAATCCCTTGGGGTATAGCTTGTTGATGTTATGAGTTGGATGACGATCGGGAAATAGACCGAGTTGACTCGGTCAGACTGCATTCAGAGTGAGATCTCTGCATAATAGCAGACAAGTAATCTGTCAGAGAGCCTTACAGTGTCTGCTACTATATCAGTCCTTACGCCAGCCCAGGTTCGATTCGAATCGCAGTCATTATGTGTGTAACGGGGAAAGGACCATCCCTAGGCTTCTAGTTTCCTCAAGGAAAAAAACTCTTTCTTGTCTTGAGTTTAAAGTAGATCTAGATCCCTATGCATGTTCAGCAATCTCTCGGTTGATTGGTGGTTGCTTGCTTCGCCTTTTAAGTATTTTTACCTACATTCACAAGAGATTTGTGGCCGTCTTACACGTCTTAACCCAAAGGGAATATACTCCATTTACAATATCCCGCCCGAAGGGGGTAGCAAAAGGCCAGTGAATATTTCTCGTTAGTGGGAGATTGGTAATAACTAACACGCACCGGTAATGACAACAATGCAGTATAGGCCGTGTTGACCTGATTCTTATTCTGGTCTTAACTGGAGAACATGGGGAAAATTGAAGTCCCAATGAGCTTTTTTCCCCCCACTTGGCGAGGCAGACTTGGTCAATTGGCGTGTTGTCGGCTGTAAACACCACCAGTTTGTACTGCGGCATCTTGGTGAGGACTCGTACAAACAAGCAATGCCTTAACACCCTTGGATGAAAAGACATAATTGCATTCGCGCGTGCGGATCGTGCGATCGATCACCGCACGTAGACCAGACCACTTTTTGATTACGCTTTGGTGGGGATGTGCGTTGTGTGTGCAGAGGCTCACATTGGTAGCTTGTTATTTGAGGATGTCGAGATTCACAGACACTTTTGGTGGTGGTTAACTTGGGAAGAGATGTACGTCACTTGATTGATTGAACGTGAGACGAGTTTTGGCCCACGCAGAGAAAAGTTAAATGTATTCATTCGAATACCTTATCACAAGAAACTTTATAAACTTTAATAAATGGAAGAAATTCTCAAAAAAACAAAACAAAAACAAAAACAAAACAAACAAACGATAATCGGTATCTAAGCAATTGAGAGAAACACATTTGTTTGTTCTTTTGTCAAATTTGTTTGTTCTTTTGGTTGTCGCAGGGATTTCTCGTTATCAATGACATTATCAAATCTGTCAATCTCAGATATTTGCCTGATTGTGTGTGCTTGATCTTTTTTAATTTGAAAAAAGGTAAAATTTTAAGTGAAGAGAGACAGTAATTTGTGTTTTTCAATTCTTATCTCGTGGTTCACTCAAGGTTGAATGTCTCGTCAGAGGAAAGCAAACATGTTCTTGGTCTCATGCTCGATGTGTCACTGCCTTCAAGTAAACTGGTCGATCCTTGCTTCTTGACCAGACGCCAAATCAGATCACTGAGTGCGATTGCGATTGGCTGTTCATCCGCCCGAGAATCACCTTTCCAGGCCAGAAGCTATGTGACTTACCTTCACCCATCAGGCGACCTAGACTTTAGGATTTCAGTTCATTCTTATCATGTAATCAGTCCTGGAAGTGCCGAGGCTTGGAGGACTGATGACTTAGTTCGAGCAAGGTGATCCTCTTCTTCTCAACCTCAATTCGGCCCTGGATTTATTCAGCTATTTCCCCTAGAAGAGATTAAAACGGACTCACAGCTAAAATGTCAAGGGCAAACTCATGTGTTCCTTTCTCACTTTCACTCATGTTATCTGACAATTCTGCTTTCGGAATGACATATCTGATTATTCACATTCTGTATGCTTGCAAAAATTGTTGTTTTGATATATTATTGTGACAGTGAAAATCCTTGCAAGGGCAGTGACGTCGTCTCTTGGTGTGGATTATTTTGATTCTGCGTTGTCTCAGAAGTTGTTGACCGTGTGGCTGTTCCGGTTACTTGGCCGTTGCTTCCATTGTGGCATATAGGTACCGTCTGAAGTTGGGTAATTTGGCATTGTCGTCGTCATAGTATTGTTTCGCCAATGGTGCCTCTGTGTACCTTGCTGATGTCAATACTATAGCTCCCTTCATTCGAGTCAATGAAACGCGAGATCTGCTGTTTTGCTTTTCCATCTCTTTTGGTAAAGCATTAATCCTTTTTGGATAATTTTAAGTGCAAAATACAAGTTCCTAGCAGCTGAAATCCAACTCTGACTATATCTGAAAAAAAGTCTCCACATCTGATAATTATCGTTAATTAATTTCAACATTGGGTCATACAATTTATTGAAGATTAAAAGACAAATTAATTCTAGTTTGTGTCACGCGGAATCCTGCTTGCTGAAGATAAGCACACAAAAATGTCCGCAAAAAGTTAATGAACAAATCACCCATAGGCCTAATCACTACACGCCATCGTCAATGTAAATAATATTCACTAAGTTAGAATATTTATTCGAGAAGGGATAATAAAGACGGTAGGTTCAGCCGTTTGGCTTGGATTGTCACCAATCTGGCCAGTTTTTTTCCCTTTGGTAACTAGATGTTATTTTTTAATTTGCAAGGCATCTGATTAGGGCCCACGTTCGCGGCTTCAGAAGCGTTGTCTTTCACGGCCCAGAAGGCCTCGAACCAAAACATGAGTAACGGCGTCCTCGCCGTATCGCAAGCATTCATCGCAGAAAATGCTTGTCTGTCCACCTGCGTCATATAATAAAGCCTGGCCCAACTCTGAGAGAGGCACTACCAGTCTGAACCTGCACGC